ACGATGTACTACCTTGAATTGAACTATAACATGTTTCACACATATTGAGGATGAATATATATTTTGAATACTTTTTGCCAAACTGTGAGTTTTTGCCCACTGGAGTGGTAACGGTTTGACTTCCAGGAACACTGATACACAGGTCAGAGGAAGTCAAACCATTACCACTCCAGTGGTCCAGATGTTTGTGGAACCAATGCAGATCGGCAGGTTAAAGATTTCATTTGAAGATAGGACTCGTCGGAGGAATGAAGGTCTGTGCTTATACTGTGCTGGTGTTGGACACATTGCCATTAATTGCCCTGTTAAGCCAAAAAGAACGAAGACTCAATGTTCTTAGTCCTGCCCAAGTAAGCCACTCTCTCCCTGTGTTGTCAGCAGATTTGAGTGTATCAGGTAAAATTCACGCTGTGAAGGTATTCATTGACTCTGGGGCCGATACAGAGTTTAATGATAACAAGTTTGCTCTTTTTCTTGGACTACAGATCCGCCACTCTAAGAGGGAACATAAGATTCAGGCACTGGATGGTCATAACCTCAACCACACCAGCTCTGAGACCCTGCCTGTTAAGATGACTATTGGAGGTAACCACACAGAAGAAATAACCTTTTTGGTAATCACATCATCCAATCTTCCTATCGTTCTTGGAGCCATCTGGTTGAAGAAACACAACCCCCATATAGACTGGGTCAACAAGGAGATTATGGGTTGGTCAGAACAATGCTCATTTAACTGTCTGTTCACAGCTAATCCTGAGAAGGAACCTCGCAATGAGACAGAGTACATCCCCAATCTACAAAATGTTCCTGCCTGTTATCATGACTTGAAGGAAGTGTTTAATAAAGAAAAGGCCACCTGTTTACCACCACATTGACATTATGACTGTTGCATTGAACTACTACCCGGTACCACACCACCTAGGGGCAAATTGTACTCTTAATCCAAACCTGAGAATGAGGCCATGAAGGAGTACATATCTGAGTCCTTGAGAGCAGGTATTATCAGGCCGTCCTCCTCCCCTGCGGGGGCAGGTTTCTTTTTTGTAGGAAAGAAGAACGRATCTCTTCGCCCCTGTATTGACTATTGAGGTTTGAATRACATAACTGTGAAGAACCGATACCCCCTACTATTAATGAATGCTGCTTTTGATTTAATTCAAGGGGCAAAATTTTTCACAAAGCTTGATCTTCGTAATGCATATCATTTGGTGAGAATCAGGGAAGGGGATGAATGGAAGACAGCTTTTAACACTCCTTCAGGACATTTTCAATACCTAGTGATGCCTTTTAGGTTAACCAATGTTCCTGCCGTTTTTCAAAATATGATTAACTACGTTTTGAGTGATTTCATCAATCTCAACGTTTTTATCTACCTTTATGACATTCTTATTTTTCTAAAGATATCAAGTCACACCAGGAACTTGTCTGTGCCTTGCTACTTCGACTCCTCCAGAATAAGCTGTATGTTAAAGCCGAAAAAATGTGAGTTTCACACCACTGACACTACTTTCGTGGGTTTTAAAATATCTCCTGATCAAATCTCCATGGACCCAGCCAAGGTAGATTGGAACACACCCCAGACTCGCAAAGAACTACAGCGCTTTTTAGGTTTCGCTAACTTCTACAGACGCTTCATCAAGAACTACAGTTCAAATCGCTGCCCCACTCAACAAACTAACCTCTAATAAGACTAAGTTTTTGTGGAACCCGTAAGCGGAAGAGGCATTCAAAAGTCTCAAGAAAATGTTCACCACAGCCCCAATCCTCCACTTTCCAGACACTGAAAGACAGTTTATTGTGGAGGTTGATGCATCCAACTCTGGAGTCGGGAACATCCTAAGCCAGAGATTCACCGACAACAAAGTTCACCTATGTGCTTTCTTTTCCAGGTCTCTCTCTCCCGCAGAAAGGAATTATGATGTGGGCGATAGGGAACTGTTGGCGGTTAAGCTGGCTTTGGATGAGTGGAGGCACTGGTTGGAAGGTGCTTGCCCGCCTTTTCTTGTCCTGACTGATCACAAGAACCTTGAGTATCTTAAATCTGCTAAAAGATTAAATCCACAACAGGCCAGATGGGCTCTATTTTTCAGCCGTTTCAATTTTGTGTTATCTTACAGACCCAGGACCAAGAACACAAAACCAGATGCTCTGTCGAGAGTCTATGAGTCTGACACAGCCAAAGACGACCGGGGGGGGGGGGGGGGTCATCCTTCCTGATGCTGTATGCTTGGCCGTAACCCTAGTCGAGAGGGAAGTCAGGGCAGCCCACCAGAACCACCCACCTCCCAATGGATGCCCGGATGGTAAACTCTTCATTCCAGACCACCTTGTTGGTAAGGTATTGGAATTTTGTCATTCTTCATGTCTTTACCGCCATCCGGTTATCACCAAGACTATTACTATAGTTAGGTCTCAGTTCTGGTGGGGTTCCCTAGAAAGGGACGTCAGAGACTTCATTGCATCTTGTATTCAATGTGCCCTGGCTAAAACCTCTCGACGGCCACCGGCGGGTGTCCTCAGGCCTCTCCCTATACSATCACGCCCTTGGTCACATATTTCTGTGGATTCTGTGACTGGTCTGCTGCAGTCTGAGGGTAAGACAGTGATCCTTACGATTGTGGATTGTTTTTCCAAGATGGTAAACCTTGTCCCTCTCCTCGGTCTACTCGCAGCCAAGGAAATGGCTCAAGTCTTTATGAACAATGTTTCCAGGCTTCATGGATTGCCTAACAATATAGTGTCAGACCAGGGCCCTCAGTTTATCTCAGGTTTTTGGAAAGAGTTTTGTGCCATGCTCAACATCTCTTTGAGTCTTTCTTCAGGATATCACCCTCAGACTGACGGTCAGACRGAGAGAGCCAATCAGGAGCTGGAGACCCGCCTAAGGATCCTGTGTGGCAACGATGCTACCGAGTGGGCTACCAATCTCCCCYTGGTCGAACATGCACTCAACTGCCTGCCATCAAGTGCCATGAAGCTGTCACCCTTCTATGTGGTGTATGGATTCCAGCCGCCTGTGTTTTCTGCCCATGAACGAGCAGCCCAGGTCCCCTCAGCCCATCAAGCAGCCCTTCGATGTCAGAGAGCATGGAGAGCGGCCAAGAAGGAACTGTTTAAGTCAACCCTCATAGCTACCAGAACCACCAACAGGCAAAGAACTCCTGCCCCCCAGTACCAGGTGGGCGATCGAGTGTGGCTCTCTACCAAGGACTTACCGCTGAGGGTAGACTGCCGTAAACTGACTCCTCGTTTCATGGGACCCTTCCCCATCTCCAAGGTGATCAACCCGGTGGCTGTCAGACTCAGACTCCCAGGCTCCATGYGTGTTCATCCCACGTTTCATGTGTCCCGGGTCAAGCCTGTCCAAYGGTCCADATTTTTGCCCTCCTCCAGACCCCCTCCTCCYGCCCGASTCATBGATGGTGGYCYRGCRTACACAGTTCACCGCATCCTCAAGTCCCGTCGTAGGGGACGTGGCATCCAATACCTCATCGACTGGGAGGGATTTGGCCCAGAGGAAAGATCTTGGGTCCTAGCTTGCCATGTCCTAGATAAGACCCTCACCAGGAACTTCCATATAAGTAACCCCAGTCAGCCAGCACCAGCTAGAGGTCCGTCAAGAGCTGGACCTTGAGGGGGTGTTCTGTTATGATTCTGTCACTGTCTGCCCTGATCCAGTTCCATTTTAGTTTTTTATTTCATCTCATGCCCCAGTTTACTTTCTTAGTCTTGTTCCCAGCTTTTCTGTTTCTTTCAGCTCCTGCTCATTGCTCTTGCTACTCCCGTCACAGAAACACTAATCAAGCTCATTCCACTCACCTGTTTTCAGCAGTATTTAACCCAGTCTCATTCTCCAACTCCTTGCCAGATTATCATCAGCCTTGCCTATGATTCTCCAAYGTTCTAGTCCCTTGTCCTGCTCTTGYCTCGTGTCCCCGACCTTGCTCATGTCTCCTGATTCCATGTCTCCTGCCTCAGCCCCTGTCGGATCCCTCCTTCCTTCTGCTCTCACGATAACAACCCTTTTTCTGTCCTTTGGATTTTTGTCTCTCGCCTGCTCCCTGAACGGCACCACGCCACATCGGGCCTCTCGATCTCGACCTCGGAACGCACCTCTGGATCATCGGCTCAGTCACCTCCCTCAAACTTGGTAACTACCTCTGACCACCCATGCATGACCCTTGCCCTGTTTCTGACCACGAGTAAGTCCAACGATCCACTCGCTCCACCTGACAACAAAGCCCGGAACCAAAGCACTTCTGCTGTTGTTTCTACCCGGTCCTCATTTCTGCAGGAAAGGTTGGTGATCTTTTTCCTCACAAATTATATCGTGTTTCTAACCCATCCTAACCTTGAGATTCTGTGTCCAGACCTGACGACCCCGGATTCCAGTCCCAGCCTTCCAACCAAATTTTCTAACAATAAACTTGTTAAAACTTTGACATTGTTTGGTATTCATTCAGAGCTTAAAACACGAACCTTAACAACGTCGGAGAGGGAGCTCACGTGACACACGTCTTACTCCTCAGTCATCTTGCCCCCTCCTTGGAAATTATTCTTAATTTATTACAAAATAATGCATTCAGCAGCTATCCAAGAAAGTATATATATATATATATATATATATATAAAATAAACAAATAATAAATATACAGACATACAAAGGAAATCTTTGGTTTTGTTTCTAAAACTCAGCATCAAATGTACCGTATTTATGTCTCAGGGCCTTTGAGACAATTGATGAAAAAAATGTTTCAGAGAGAAAATAACTGAATTTTTCTTAGTGATTCTTAGTTAGAATCAGCAGAACATTAATATGAGGGGAGCTGTTGTGTTGCAGATGATCACAACCTTTTAGTTTCCCCCCTACTGATCTGTCTCTACAGGTTGTTTTTCACAATTTGTCTTCCACAAACCTCTTCAGGTCTCCTTTGACTCAACACAAATAATGACGTCAGAGATGGGGCCCTGTTTTCTTCTTGTCTAAGAGGGCAGCCAGGTTTGGGATTTTTAGAAAGGTCAGAGGCTGTCTCTTAGTTAGTGTCGTTTTATTCAAAGGACTTTAAATAAATGAAGAAAAATAGATATTTATCACCTCCTGCCATAAGACAAAGGAGGACAGTTTTTGCATGTGTGTGTTTGTCTCCTATCAAAATATTGCATGAACTACTGGATGATTTTTTTTTAAATTTACAATATAAAATCATTGGAATTTAGTATGACACAGACCCAACCTCAACACAAACTCCTACTACTACTCATTGCTCAAGATATTTTCTTAAAACTTTAGCAATCATTTACTTTATGGTGTCCAAGTTTTACAGTTAACCTATAATTTGATGTGRCAGTAGCTGACAGTCAGTCACAACACATACTGAGTATAACATCTGATGATATGTCATGCGAATGGTTCTAAGTTTTGATCAAATTGACTACAGCTCCATTATTTGTCTTTATACAAGGATCCTAGTCTAAAACTTTAGCATAAAAGCGATTCTTCACAAAAAGGGGAACGATATTCCTTTAAAGATTGTTATGGTTCTATTAAAGTGATTTTAAATAAATAAATATACAAGCATTTTAAAGTTTTTCATTTAACATTTGTAGATTAAATAAAATGTGACAATATAGTAAGATAACAAAACTATACCTAATAAGGAATGTTTAAAGAAGTGAAGATGTTGAAAGGAATATTTATTTCCCTATGTCACATTGTGTTTCTGTCGTATGTTTCTGTGCTTTTTTGAGACAGCGCTGGGAAAAATTATTTTATCTTGAYGTATTCAATAGTCAACAACAGGTCGTCACAAATTTATGTCATGTTGAAAGATTCTGTTACATAAACAAATTTAAAACCTTGCATATACACTCACCGGCCACTTTATTAGGTACACCATGCTAGTAACGGGTTGGACCCCCTTTTGCCTTCAGAACTGCCTTAATCCTTCGTGGCATAGATTCAACAAGGTGCTGGAAGCATTCCTCAGAGATTTTGGTCCATA